ACTCTCTCTGAGCCACAGATTCACACGAACACTTTGGCTATTTGTTCCCATCTGATGCTGACCTACCCACCCACATCTTTACTGCAGTGTTTTCTCAGGATTCCCTCTTTGTTCCTGCCCTTTTAGAGGCACCCCATCCCTGTTGGTTTCTACGTTTGAGCAGTCCTCTTCCTATTTAAAGGTCTATGTGTTTGCTTTCTGTTTGGACCTTTACTACTAGCGGTCTGGGGCCCTATCTTTAGTCTCCTTGTTTCCACCGTCTGAAGCTTGGCTCTTGTATTCCCCCCCTTCAGTTTCCTTCAATTCGTGCTTCTAGTTTCTTTCCCCACCCTCTCCCAGGATCGTGGATGCCTTTTCCTTATCTGAAGACGGATTTGCTGAGTTCATCTCCTAATGCTCTCATCCTGGACTCTACTTGAACCTGAAGTCTGACAATTAACCTTTCTTTCTCATCCCATCAAACTCCTCTTGTTGCCAATTTAGCACTCATTAAGATCTTCACGGAGCGCTGGTGGTGCAGTGGTTAAGAGCTGGCTGCTAACCAACAGGTCAGCATTTCGAATCCACCAGCTCCTCCTTGGAAATTACAAATCTTATATTAGTGACAGTACCTATAAATTTTCTCTGCAGTCTCTGCTAGCATCTTTTTCCCTGGACCGTGAACTCTTGCCTAGTAACTTACTACGTATGTTTATAAACACCAGTAATTTGATTTTCATATCACTATTGTTTACATTTAAATGAAGTAACTGTATTCATTGTAGTGATTGAAGACTTTTGAGAGCCCTGGTGGCATAGTGGTTAAGAGCTCAGTTGCTAACCAAAAGGTCAGCAGTTTGAATCAACCAGGCGCTCCTTGGAAACCCTATGGGACAGTTCTACTCTTTCCTATGAGGTCACTATGAGTGAGAATCAACTAGACGGCAGAAGGTTGGTTTGGTTTTGGGGTTTATTGTTTACATTTAAATTAAGTAACTGTATTCATTGTACTGACTGAAGACTAGCTTATAGATTAAAGACTAGGTGTAATATCCAAATAAAGTACCTTAATTTGTGAATGAAAATAACAAAATGAATCCTCCTTCTTACATTTCTGAACCAAGAGAACCTGCTAAGGAAGAATACCTATAGTTGGATCAAGCCACGATAGGTATATTGAAATAAAATTTTATGAAGTTTATCAACTTCTAAGTACTCAATGAAGTTTTTTTATATTTTTCTGTAGCATATGAAGAACAAAAGTAATCTAAACTATAAATCAACATAAGCAGTCTATCATTGTATAGAATACATGCTAAGATATTTAATTAATTTATTCAAGGAAATACATTCTGAGTATTTACTAGGTGTCAGGAATTGTTCTTGGCATTAGTGATGCAATAATGAAAAAAGGAGACAAAATGTGATGATGGTAAATAGATGACATTCACTTTTGCGCTGTGTTTGAAGTTAATTCAGTGACCAAATTCAGAAATGAACTACAGGGGAAGAGGAAGTACCAGGTAAAGGAAAATTATTTGTTTACTACTAAGATTTGAAATAGAATCCAAGAGGTAATGAGACAGAGCAGACCAATTTAGATGGCACATAAAAAGATTCATCAACAGTGGCAAGTTTATAGAACATGGCACAGGAAGTTGTGCTTAGCTGAGAAGAGGAAGCAGAGAAAAACAAAGTCTGTTATAAAAACTGGAAAGAAGCCACAGAAGGCTACAGAAAACAAGGAAGGCCATTTTGAACTGGATCCTGGAGTGACTGAAAAGCCAGAGTGTCATCCGAGGTTGCAAGTAGTATAATCACACTTTTTTGCATGTAAGAAAGCAAGTGAGCACTTTAAACCCTGTTGAATTGGCATAGCAAGGGAGGAGCCTGTGGTATGAATAGTCATACTTTACATTTTTATTTTTATT